GTTTACTATGTTCTATAGGTGCTTCCCTTTCTTCTCCTTGTGTTTTCTAGGCATTTTTCTATTCATATGATTCTGTAATTGACATGGATTTGTCTCGTGCAGTCATCTTATGGTTTTGTTCATTACTATGATCGAGGATCAGCTGAACTTGCTATAGCCACTCACAATGGAAGGCACCTGTGAGTAGGCTCGCTAGCTATGTGCTTTACTGTAGGCCTTTTTCCTTTTCACTGTGGCTCATACCTTTTTACTTTTAGGTTTGGGCAGCCTATCAAAGTTAACTGGGCCTATGCCAGTGGACAGAGGGAGGATACTTCAGGTGCGTTCAGTTTCTGTTTTTGTACAAGTGCAATTCTTGACTTTGCATTTAGCCCATTATGTTGTGTTGGAGTTTGTGAATATCTGTAGTATGATATTCTTCTTTTTGCAGGTCACTTCAATATATTTGTTGGCGATTTGAGCCCAGAAGTTACTGATGCCATGTTGTTTGCTTGCTTCTCTGTTTACCCTAGTTGCTCGTAAGTATCTCCTCCTCCTGAATGCCTCCCTAAGAAGGTGCTCTGTCATGGTTAATATATACTCCCCCTCTTTCAATTAAGATGACACACTTTTCTTATTAGTCCATCCAAAAAGAATGACACATTTCTACAATTGGAAATAATTCAACTTTAAACTCTTCATTTTACCTATTTTACCCTTAATGAGAAGCTTTTATTACCACACAAATATCATGGCCCCACAAAGTTTTTACCGCTTAAGCTTTTAAGACAACAAGTTTCAAAAGTCTTTTTTTTCTTCTTAAACTCCGTGCCGAGTCACACTATGTCATCTAAATTGAAACGGAGGGTGTATTTACTTAGAAAGTGTCAAATACACTTAACAGAAAATAATTATTGTGTACTCAAATGTGTATATATAGTGGCTAATTGTCCCTTCCTATTGATAGTGATGCTAAGGTAATGTGGGATCAAACTACTGGGCGTTCTAGGGGTTTTGGATTTGTTTCTTTCCGCAATCAACAGGTATCCTTTTATGTGCATTTATTTTCAAAATTCTCTCTCGGTTGATGCACCGCTTTGTTCCCATTTAATCTTATTGTTTTTATTCAGGATGCTCAAAGTGCAATCAATGATTTAACTGGTAAGCTAACACAGAAGTTCTCTGTATTCAGTTAACTTTTTACTGATTGATGCACAAGTTGGATTATTTCAGAGCAATTGAGAGCTAGAAGGTCTTATTTTGCCCTTTGTCTTTATGTTGCTATAAGGGAAATGGCTTGGTAGTAGACAGATACGTTGTAACTGGGCCACAAAAGGTGCCAATGCTAATGACGACAAGCAGGGATCAGATGCCAAAAGTATCGTGGAATTAACTCATGGATCATCAGGTGTGTACAATTTTCTGAACCTTAAAGACAAGTCCTTAATTTTGATAAAGAGAATTATCCAATAGCTTGTTTCCGGTTTTGTTTGGAAGGTGGCTGGATTCAGAGGGTTTAGTTCTTGAAATTGATTCTGGCCTTCTTAATGAATGCCTTTTCCTGTTGCAGAAGAGGGTAAAGAGCCAGAAAACGGCGATGCTCCTGAAAACAACCCACAATATACAACTGTTTATGTGGGTAATCTTGCTCCTCTGGTAAGATATTCTTACTCACTTTTCTGCCCGTATGGAAAATGATAATAGTGTAACTTTTTTGGAGTAAACCACAGGGTGTCTTTGCCCTTTGTCCCTGCTCAGGTCTTGAAGTGCCTTTGTGCTTTTGGAAGGACTTAGCCCCTTTACTTTCATTTGTTTCAGGTGACACAACTCGATCTCCATCGCCATTTTTATGCCCTTGGTGCAGGAGTGATAGAGGAAGTTCGGGTTCAACGTGATAAAGGATTTGGTTTTGTGAGATACAGCACCCATGATGAGGCAGCTTTGGCGATTCAAATTGGAAATGCTCAATCAATTCTGTGTGGTAGACAGATTAAGGTACATCATTCTACCTGAAGGTGGCCTTTTCTAGTCTTACAGTTGTTTTGCAAGTCACTGTATTGGATTCTGATATATTCTTCTGAATATAGGATGCTACTATTCTTACTAACCAATTTTATTTGAGCAAAATTTTTGAGCTTGACTTAATGATGTGTGTATTTCCAGTGTTCTTGGGGTAACAAACCAACTCCACCTGGAACAGCCTCGAATCCTCTCCCACCGCCAGCCGCTGCACCATTAGGCCTCTCTGCGACTGACCTTTTGGCTTATGAACGGCAGCTAGCTATTAGCAGGATGGCTGGTGTCCATTCCCTCATGCAACCCCAGGGTCAACATCCTCTGAAGCAAGCATCAATGGGAATGGGTGCCTCTGGAGCAAGCCAGGCTATTTATGATGGTGGTTTCCAGAATGTTGCTGCCCAGCAGCTCATGTATTATCAGTGATGTGTAGAAATTTGGCTTTTGGCATACCATTGCCTTTCTTTGGACTAGATGAATTCTTACGACGTCTAGGTTCTCTTATGCTTTGTTTTTAATTTTACGGGTTGGTAATGTGGTTCTCACGTGTATGAATACCCATAAACTGCGCATTTTGTGTATTTGATTTAGTAGGGTGAGTGTATACTGCAGCGTTTGCACCATTATTCTAGTTGTGTTATGGCATGTTTTTGGAACTTTGATGCAACTATTGGAGCAATCTCTTTTAGTCACAATTCTGTTAGAGATCTGCCTGCTAACTCGTTGTTTTCCATTTAGTGGTTACCCCTTAACAGATTGGTCACGCGTCCTATCTCTCTGAACTTTCAGTACTCGTAAGAGATGACTCTTAGTTATAGCCGTGATAGCATTATTGGCATACTGCATAATAAGTAGTTGCAAAAATGATCTTTGATTATACATGATTTGAGAAGCTGTGGAGAGAGAGGCCAAAAGGTCTCTTGTGGATTCGGCCAAGAACTTTCGCCTGTGGCTGATCCATCCTAGGAAGGAATGCAGCATCATTGCTTGGAATTGGGAAATTGAGGCTTTTTCTTATCCTTGCATATCCAAGATCGCTATTTTGCTGCAGGACTTAAGTTCGCAGTAGAAATGCAATGCATAATGTGTGGATGCACATTATGAGTTCAAACCTTGTCGTGGCCTAAAACTTACTCTATCCGTTCCAGTTTATATGGTGCTCATTTCTTTTTAGGGTTTCTAATAAACAACTTTTTGATTCATAATTTTAGAAATCGGCGTGTCTTTCTAAAACTCCATGCCAAGTCAAATAGTGCCACATAAATTGGGACGGAGAGAGTAACATTTAAGTGGGAAGGCTGATTTTTCATACCACAATTCTAGACTTGTGCTAATGTGCATAATGTGCACAAGGCGGAATGACTTCCTGACCAATTAGACTTGCAGGGCTTTTGAAAGCCGATACATGAACCTTAAATTTTCCCATTTGAACACTCAACTTGACAGAATGAGTACTAATAAATACATCCAGTAGTGTGTGTATATCAATTGCGCTGACATGTACAACACATCATATACTAGACTATTTTGTTACTTGACATGTGTTATTTGTGGGTCCTATTTTTAAATGCTAAATAAGCAAAAAAGAAATTACAAATTAAAAAAAGAAAAAAGAAAGAGAGAAAAAGACCTGAAGCTATTACTCCGTTCATACCACCTCTCCGTTCAATAGGAATCCATGGTTTTAGAGAGCTTCGAAAACCTCATATTTGGTAATATGATAGGACCTTGGATGCGAGAGCTACAAAAATCAAACTCCACCACTTCCGGTGCAACTCCCAGAGGAAATTCGGTGATAATATCTAATAACTTGCAGCACCATGCTTTAAAAGTTCAGGCGGCTCGGAAAAATAGACACCTCACCAGGACTTCTAAAACGTACCGTCGGTTATTTCTCCTTTAAACCCCTCATTGATACATTCTGTTCTAACTTCACCATTGCCCCGCCATTTTTGTTACAGTCGTGGATGTAATTTCAGCACCTGGATGTAATTTTCTTTTCTTTTTCATTTTTTAATTTTTTCCCTATTGATAAAATATTTTCTTTAATTAGAATATTGCATTCACGCACATTTTCTGTGTGACTGACACGCATTGTCCACATCACATTTGTCAGTTGTCACTGTCACATAGCATGGTCAACGGTCAAATGTGTTTATTAGTTAAGGGAATCATGAGTTCGAGTATTCAAATGGGAAAATACAAAGTTCATGTATCGGCTTTCAAAAGCCCTACAAGTCTAAGTGGCCAAGAAGCCATTACGCCTTCAATCGATACCAATTCTTGTGTGTTTTTTGCAATTCATATTAAAGACCCTCTCCTAAGGTTGAGAACCTTGCTCAGTTCTCCATGAGGGAAGGTCTAGTATACAATTTTCTTTCTACGTGATCGGAGCTTTATCAAAGTTTGTAGGCGTGAGTACTCGGATTGGACTTGGAAACCCCGCGGCGTTGAACTAAAACCTAATATTTAGGTGAGAAGGCTAGAATGGTGGGCTCATCATATACTGAGTATCGAACCGCCAACTGAGCACTCATACTTTTCAATGTTGAAGATGTAGATCTGCGTGGTAGCCAAACACGTGCGCTATCGTTCTTTAACTCTCTTCTCCTATTGAGTCTGAAAGCTTTGAAGCTATGAGGCCGTAGTAAGGTAACTTATGAACTGCATCACCTTCATTCTTTCTGAAGTTGTCTTTATGTCCAGCACTAGCAGCAAAGCATAAAGTCTGGGTACACATTTATTGTATTCAGAAAACTAGTTGAGTCGCTTGTATAGAATAATGATATATTTGTTGGTTTTTGATAAAAGAAACTAAGGGAAATAATACGGGAAGATGACAGAAAAATAAAAAGAATATACTGGAATAGATATAAAAGGAACTCTAAAGAACTGAAGCTGAAAATTCTATATTATTTCACTGAATTTGGATTACAATTTATAAGAGAAATACTAACTTAAAAAATTAGCACAAAATCTATTGAAAAAAACAAACTCCTAAAGACTAGTTCAAAATTATTTCAGATTCAAACTAAATTACTGTAGTAAATAACTCTTACGCTGAAACAGTAAAATAATTTTACTGAGAGCATCATATTTCTAACACTCCTCCTTGCTTTTGAAGCTGCAAATACTGAATTTATGCCTTGTAAACCTTTAATTGGAAGCGACTTTGTACGTAAATCTACCAACTTATTTTTGGACTTGCAGTAAATTGAGTTCACTTTTCTATTTTGCTACATCTCATGATTGTCAGTGAAATAAATTGGCTTTTTTTTCTATCTTCATTTGCATCTTGTCTCGAGGCTTGTCAACTTTCTTCCAGATTTGCATTTTTCCTTAAGGCTTGTCAACTTTCTTCCAGATTTTATTTTTTTGAGATATTGACAACTTCTTCTTTGCCTCATTTTCACATATGTCCTTAGTTGGAGGATTATCTGCAGTTTGTAGATTCTTTTGGCTCTATTTTTCATCTTCTGTTGGATCAAATGAGAAGTTTTTACCTCTTATTTTAACCCTTAAAATCTCAAGTCCAGTTACATCATAAATGAAACAATGTTTATCTTCAAAGGATACTAAATCCCTTTTTCATTAGTTGTCCAACACTCAATAAATTTTGATCAATAGCAGGAACATAAATAACATTTGAAAATTTCTTAGTACCTGAATTTGTTGCGATTGCAACAATTCCTTTTCCTTTAGCAAGAATATAATCACCATTCCCAATTCTGACTTTCTTATTTCCCATAAACGTGAATTCTTTGAAAAGATTTCTGTCATATGTCATGTGGTTTGTACAACCACTATCAATTATCCAAAAATCAGATTTCTTGGTCGAAGAAGAGTTTCCACAAACAAATGATCTTCTTCTTCTTCATTGGCGACTTGGGCATCTGCTTCATGCTTTTGAGATTTGCCTTTGCAAATTACAGCTTCATGACCAAGTTGGTTGCAAATTTTGCACTTTGCATTTGGCCTCTTCCAACATTTGAATGGTGGATGACCTTTTTTACCACAGTGCTGACAAGGTGGGTAATTTTTTTTTATTTTTTTTTTGCATTATTACCCTTGCTTTGAGTTTTGTGGTTGACTGCCGAGACTCCTTCAACCATACCATCTTGCCTCATAAGCCTCATTTGCTCTTGTGCCTGCAATGTATTTAACAATTCTGCCAAGGTAATCTTGGATAGATCCTTTGTGTTTTCCAAGGTAATTATAGATACTTCATATTTTTAAGGCACCGTAACAAGAATATTTTCAACAATTCTTGAATCTTTAAATTTAGTACCAAGCAATCTTACCTTGTTAACAATGCCAAGCAACCGATCTGAGTATTCTTTGACGGTCTCATATTCCTTCATTTTCTGTAACTCGAATTCCCTTACTAAATTCAACACCCTCATGCCTCGTGTTCTTTCATTTCCTGCATATTCTTCCTTCAGATAATCCCAAATTTCCTTTGCTGATTTGAGAGCCATAATTCTCGTAAAAATTGTTGCAGACACACCAGCAAACAAAGTTGCTTTCGCCTTTGATTTCCTGGGTTTTTTTCCTTATGACTCTTGATCTGGGCCACCGTGGGATTGTTAGGTAGTAGAAGAACATCATAATTCTCTTCCACGGCCTCCCAAAGATCTAAAGTCTCCAAGTAAATCTCTATTCTCACTGCCCGCAGTTGATAATTTTTACCATCAAAGACTGGAGGAGCCAATTGAGAAAAATTCGCTCACTCAAGATTTTTTTTTACTCAGGTCCCTTAAGAAGATGGCTCTAATACTAATTGTTGGTTTTTGATAAAAGAACCTAAGGGAAATAACACGGAAAGATGATAGGAAAATAAAAGGAATATACTGGAATAGATGTAAAAGGAACTCTAAAGAACTGAAGCTGAGTGGCTGCCCTTAAATACAGGGATATACTTGGCTGCTTCCACGACGAAACTACATCCTACAGCATATTTCTTTATCTGTTTTCACGTGGCTTCTGGTAATGTCGTTGATAGTACAGCAGCCAGAAAGGGTCATTGTCAACTCAAGTTCATTCTTGAGCATTTCAATAACTTGCTTTACCCCATGCTCCCCCTTTGCAGCCAGGCCATACACAACTGCTCGACCAATCTGCAGGTATATTGTTTTAGATTACAGGGAAGGGAAAATCTAAAGCTTAACAAACTGGAAAAATTGAGGTAAGAACTTTCAAATAAGTTTACCAGAACAGCTTTTGCGCCAAGTGCTAAGACCTTGAATATGTCTGTTCCTCGCCTCACTCCTCCATCAAAGAAAACTGGAACTTTATCTTGAATAGCATGGACCACCTGAAACCATTGGAGATTTTAGAACAATTATGTGATTCGCATTGTGTTTCAAATCTAAATTTACTTAGATATCGAAACAAATGCAAATGATTAGACTTGTAAATTTGAAACAAATAGGACCAAATCCCTCAATCCAAAATAGGCCATTTTATCAATTCAGATGACATAGATGACTCTCGCACGGCTAGCTTGATATAAAAGGGAAGCGCGGTGCACTAAGCTCTCGCTATGCGTAGGGTCCGGGGAAGGGCCGGACCACAAGGGTCTATACGCAACCTTACCTACATTTCTACAAGAGGCTATTTCCACGGCCCGAACCCGTGACCTCCTGGTCACATGGCAACAACTTTATCATGCACGACTAGCTTGATATAAGGACCCAATATCATGCTGTGGAGCTCAAACATGACAGGCAGCCCCATTCAACCATGTCCAAGAGTCCTTGCTATACATTTGACAGGCATACAACTTTTATAATTCCTCCAAAGCATGTTATATCTCTGGTTTAATTTTCACTAAGCAAGATCCAAAGCTTCCTTTCTTTTTGTTTTCTATTCAGAAGCTATAAACATAAAACTGAAAAGCCCGTGATAACAGGGGCGGAGCCAGTGTGTTGATTACGCGTTCAGCCGAACTAAGATACTTTGGTTCGAATCCTGTATTTATCTTAAAAAATTTATTGAATATATACAAATTATTAATTTAGAACCCAGTAACTCAAAAGAACTAGAATCTTGAACCCATAAGTTTCAAATTCTAGCTCCGCCTCTGCATGATATTCCATTTTACTTTGAATGTTCCATACTGAAAAAATTTGTGCTAAAATTGTTTACAATGGACTAATATATTTTATTCCATGTGCCACGTTAAAAGTCTAAAAATCTAAACCAGTGAACTTACCAACATTCAGTAAAAGATAACGTCAAATATACCAGGAAGATAGGGAATAACCTCTTCAAGAACAGAAATAGTAGCTGGAGCATAATCTAGTTGCCGAGCTCCATGGTTAGAGACAATAATTCCTGCAACTCCTACTTCAACTGCTTTTATTGCTGCAAAAAGTAGTAGTACATGCCAAGTCTTTAGCCGAAAGAGTCAAATAGTGAGACCTTACAACAACAGTTCGATCCCAAAGTAAGTCGGAGTCAGCTATTTGGATTTCACTATCATTTCATTCTGAAAATTTCTCCTTGAAAGATTTGTAACTATATTTCCTACGTTCTTCATGATGTCTGTACATCTATTGTTTTCTTCCCTGTTTACTTGACTGCACTTCCTAACAGATTTTTGCATCTTATCTTAACCAGTTCCCTTCTAAAGTTCTCATGTATGATTGACAAACACCAACCTTTTCCTTTCATGATCATTTACTTTGCCCATATCCTTATAGACATAATCAGTGAAGAAACCTAAACTATGCAGCTATCTAGGATTCAGTGATAAATACCATCTTCAGAAGTCAGAACGCCCTTAATCAGAATTGGCAAGTTGGTAATTGATTTCAACCACGCGATATCCTGAAAATATTTTGTAGCATAAAGGGATCAAAAGGGAGAACAGTTGATCGTATTTGTAGTTAGTAACAAATGACACTCCCATCCTTCTATAATGTACTTTTGTAGCTCCAGCAATTTTACTTCCTTTAACATACATTGACATCCTCAACCAAAATGTTCCTTCTAGGCTCAAGAGTTTAAATCATCCTTGAGGTATATCATGTGGTAATAAGGAACAAAAGAATAAACCTAAAATTCTGTACCTTCCAACACAAGGAAGCATCAAAAGTTACAGCAGCAAAGGCTTCAATATTTGAGCCGTCGTCCTGCAGAGTTTTATTAGTAGACGTAAGCAAAATCTACACCATTTTCAAGATTATGATGACTAATGGAATTTCTGCATATCAAACTAATGAACGAGAACATGAACCCATATAAACCAGTAGCACACAGATGAGTACAGAAGCATTGCTATTGTACACTATATTCAACAAACTGAAGCAGCAGACAGTGCGTCTAACAACTAGTTGTGATCAGCTAATTGGTAAGTCAAAGCAGGAGCCCCTTTAATGGAAACATAGGCTCTACACTACTTGGGAACAGAATTAATACTTTATAGTTTTTACTTTATAGCCAAAATTGACCATTTCAGTTTGGCATTACATGCACAAAACATGACCTTGTGTTTGGTACTCAAGGAACTTCCTTTTTAAGAGTAATAGTATGTAATTCAGGCATAGCGAATGTTGAAGCTAATCCCTAGCGTCAACCTCCCCAACTCCCAACAAATAGAAGGAGAAAGGAATGAGTCATTCAGAAAGAACAGCAGATTTAGTAGGAATAATCAGCCAACAAGAGACATTTTAGTCCTAGAAAATAAATTCTGTTTCTTAAAAGAGTTTCACAATTCGCCTCTTTCAGTTTAACAAGTGTTTTGTCTGTAAAGCCATAATGGTTTTACTTACAGAAACATATTCAGTTGATATAAGACCTTCAAAGTTCTTCAACTGAGGTGCGACCATCCTGCAATTGTAACTCCTCTCTTTCTAGATTAACACAGGATTACCAATACTGTAGGAATTCTTAAAATTTCTTAAATACTAAATGATAAAACTTATTTCTATCCAGATAAGATTGAAGAAGAACGGCGAAACGGAGTTTAGCTAGACTTGAATGACAGCAAAAAGATAAATAGGTTACTTATTCTTTATATCTGCCTCCCTTCTACCAAGCCTCGGGGTATCAGCAGTAAGAATAATAGCCTTAAACCCATTCCTCTCAGCTCTTTGTACCATAAATGCTGTTATATCCCTCCTTTTGTAAACCTATTGACAGAAGAACCTTCTGCTTCAAAACACCCCCCCAAAAAAAAGCAGTAAAGATACACGGAGATCTCGATGGTTAGGAAGAATAAAATCACATATATTTGGAAGAAGCGAACAGCATTGCAGCTCGATGTAACCTCCTCCACTGTGCAGGTTGACATATATGACAGTCCCTATAACCAAGAGAGTTCAGCACTATCCGCATACAAGAATTGGAAATTGATCTGGTTTAGAACAATATTACCATAATAACATCAGATGCTGCAGCGGCTCTAGCTGTAGCAACTTCTCCTGGCATAGGTATAACCGCTTTCTGGAATCAGAGCTACATAGTATATTCAGCTAACAGACTAGAGTGATAATTAATTTAATATAAACCTTCAGGATGTGCCAATTTATGCATGGCAGTTGGGGCAATCATAATAGGAGCGGATGTCTTGTAACCGAGTATAGCCGTTGACATGTCTATCCTGCTCACATCAACAAGTATTCTAGGTCGAATACTGAGTTTCTGAAAAGTTAGTGATAGATATCTCTGTCTGTTAACAACTATAGAGCAAGAAATTACAAACTTACGTGATTCTACGAAATGCTTCTACATTTTCTCTTAGGGTGTGCTGGTCCTCAGCTCCTCCAGTATAGTAGTTATAGTACATCTTCGGAAGGGCCTGCCTAGCAAGCACTTGGAATTCGTTCACATTAACTGGTTCTGCCATTTTAGCCTGCTTACACAAGCGTTCATATCTTACATTCCTTCATTCTAGAACTTTGATCTTCTGTCTACTTCATATTAAAAGAGACTCGAGAAATTGTCAACTATTTGTTCTCCAAATAACCAGGACTAGGTGGGTGGTAAAATCTCTACCCATTGAACTATTACATAGTGAGGCCAGAGCAGGGGCGAAGCCACACTTATTGACCACCCTATGTCGGAAAATTATACTGTGTATATAGATAAAATATCAGGTTTTAGAGGTACAAAACATATATTGAACACCCTTTGTTGAGAATTGTTTTTACTTTTTCAAGTTTGAACACCCTTAGAGGAAAATCCTGGCTTCGCCTGGGCCAGAGCATTTGCTGTCTTAGGATGTATTCCCTTATTTCATTTTATATGGCGGTATTTGACATGAGTTTAAGAGAAAAAGAAAGACTTGTGGCACATCTCAAAAGTAATTTTACAACTTGTGATCTTAAATATGTTATGCGAAAGTTTAAAGTTAAGGACTTCCCAAATATAGAAATATGCCGTTTATGGAAACAGATTAAAAAGAAAAAAAGGGTTGTATAATATGGAACTGAGGGCGTAATAGATTCCTATTTAAAATTGAAATGTTTGTATGTATACGATTTAATCACTCAAGTGTGTTTAGGTAAAGAACGAATCCTTTGTAACAGTGGTTTTAGGCCTTAAATACATATTAGAGCTTAGGAACTAAAGCATGTAATAATTCAGATTCAGAAATCACATCATGTGATCAGACGAGTTCAACTATCAGACATATCAAAATACTGCAGTAAAGCTCCATTTTTTAATTTTAATTTTAAAAAGAGACCTTTCCAACTAATTCAAACAGGAAAATGGAAGATGGTAAGAAACAATTTTAGTACCTGGACGATACAGAGAAGATTTAGGCAATTCTCCACTGCTTCTTCCTGCTGTTAAAACTTACTTAAACTCACAAGTAGCCTTTTCAAAAGCTTAAATTTTAACGCTTTTCACTTTGGACGAAAAGGGTTCAAAATGCACGGAGCTGAATTAAAAATAATTATTATTTTTTTTATAAAATTTAAAAAAATTATTTACAAAATATTTTTATATTTTAAACTAATGCACCAGTAGTACATTAATTTAGTAAAATCTTCTTCTTCTTCTTCTTTTCCAGTCTTTACAAAAAATAATTCAGTTTTTACAAAAAAATATTTTTTTCCAGTTTTCTTAAAGCATTTTTTGTAAAAACTAAAAAACAAATTTTGTAAAAACAAAAAAAAATGTTTTTAATAAAATATTTTCGTTTTTGAAAAATATATTTTTTTAGTTTTTTTTTAAAAAGGAAATGTTTTTTCTTTAAAATAATGAAAAATATATTTTATTAAAAACATTTTTTTCTATTTTTACAATTTTTTTTAGTTTTTACAAAAAAAATGCTATAAAAAACTGAAAAATGAAATAAAAATTATGTAAAAACTGAATTGTTTTTGTAAAAATTTAAAAAAAATAAAAAAAGAAGACCTTACTAAATTAGTGGACTATTGGTGCATTAGTTTAAAAAATGAAAATATTTTGCAATTTTTTTTTTAAGTTTTACAAAAAGAATAATTATTTTAGCCCAATAGGTAGATAAAGGGTAGATAAAGGGTATTTTTAAACCTTTTTCAATAGTTTAGGGGCATTTTGAACCCTTTTCCGTTTAGAGAAACTATTTTTTTCCAGACACAAATTGTTATTGTTAATCTTTTAGAAATATTCTAGGAGCGATCCAATCATTTAGTAGTATTAGTGGGCGTTTGGACATAAGAATTGTAAAGTTACAAAAATAAAGTTGATTTTTTTTCCAAGTAAAAATGGTATTTGAAAATTAGTTAGGGTTTGACCATAAATTTTTAAATTTGTTTTGAAAAATCTGATTTGGGTGAAATTTGATTTGGAGATGAAAATGTGTTTGGACATACGTTTTCAAAACATATTTCCTAAATTTATATTATTAGGGATTTGGCCCAAAACTAACTATTGAACTGGTTTTCGGATTGACATTGTTACATTCTTATACACTATATGAAATTATATTACCCTCCCTACTCAAGTTTTACTATAATTACATTTTATATACACAATTACCATTTATGTACATTCTAACGTATCTTCTACTCCCCCACGTTTCTCTCTTCATATCCCACCCCCTCCCCCCACGTATCTTACACTCACACACAATTTTCTCTTCACAAAATTCAGAATCCCTCAATTAACGCATATTTCCTCTCTTCTTCCATAAGCATTCTTAATTTTTACTCTCTTCTTCAAAAAATCACCTCCATTAACATTTGTACTTTGCTTGATTTTCAATGAAGAAGAAAATAGCTTCAAAGAACAGCCCTAGAAGGGGCAAAAGAGTCGATATTCTTACATTTGATTTGAGTGTTTTCTTAGAGAATTTACCCCAAAAAAATTATTTGTTTGAATTGGATGTTGTTGCAAAGAATTGGGAATTCTCTTTACGTCTCTCTCTATCTCTCAATCCCTAATTTCAGTAATGTAAAGCAAAGGAAAAAGAGCAGCAATTTCATCATTGACAACCATTAAAAAGCTTTAAAGCTTTGAATTCGAATTTGGGTTTTGAAAAATCATTATTTATTTGGATTGGGTATTGTTGCAAACAATTGGGAATATAATTTGGAGTTTATATCTCAATTTTGAGAGTGTTTCGGTGAAGGTTAGACTTGATTTTGGCTGAATTTCAGATTGAAACTCGTCGAAGAAGAAGAAGAAGAAGAAGAANGCAACAACAACAACCCAGTATAATCCCACTTAGTGCGGTCTGGGGAGAGTAGTGTGTATGCAGACCTTACCCCTAACCTGGGGTAGAGAGACTGTTTCCAAATAGACCCTCGCCATCATTCCCTCCAAGAACTTCCCACCTTGCTTTTAGGGAGACTCGAACTCACAACCTCTTAGTTAGAAATAATGTATGAAAATTGTAGATAAGTTATAAATAAGTTGTAGATAAGTTGCAGTATAATATATAATTAGTTGTATGAAATGTGTTTTTTAGTATGTATAAATCAGATACAAAATATACAAAAGATATATTGTATAAATTTTGTATATATTTTGTATAAAATTTGTAAAAAAGTTGTATGTTATTGTAGTTGTATTTAACTGGGTAGAAATAATGTGTGAAAGTTGTAAATAAGTTGTATAATATATAATTAGTTGTATGAAACTTGTTTTTACTATGTATAAATCAGATATAAAATATACAAAAGACATATTGTATAAAAATTGTGTTTAAGTTGTATGATATTGTAGTTGTATATAACTGAGTATAAATAATGTATGAAAGTTGTAAATAAGTTTTAGAAGCCTATGACATAAGCTTTGGGATTTTTTCGGTCTCTTTTAATTTAGACAATTTGGTATTCGAAATTCATCCAATATGAAATGGACCCAAGTTCATCTGTACGTTTTGGATTTCTGTCCACAGTTCTTGGTAGGTGAGAATTCAATACTAGAAAGCATGAGAGGACCTCAATTTGCAGTTGCATTTGGTGTTGGTGAAGAGAGGCTTAGGAGAATACTGGATGCTCAGCGGGAAGCTGCTACTTTGTCGTCGACGTCCGTTGCTCCAATAGAGCAGATAGATCCGAGAAAGGAGGAGGAAGAAAGAGGAGAAAGGGGGAGGGAGAAAGTGGTTGTAATGAAAATACCAGAAGTGATTAGGAGCTTTAGCAATGACATGATCATGGAATTTGCTTAGAACTAAGCACATGAGGCTATAAATTCAGTTAGGAGTTTTTATTTCTCTGTTCATCTTATGTTTGCTTCCTTGTCGTGTTAGACTTGTCTTTGCTTTTGTGAATAAGAACATGGATTTAGTTTTTCCTCTTGTCACTTTGTTTATTTGTCCTCTTCATTTTTTGTCAAATAAAATTTAGCTCGTCTTTCGCTCTCTGAATTTTATATGTACACAAATTCTAATTTTGTGGCATGAGTTCCTCTTTATACGGTGGTAATTTTCTCGGTTATAATGTATTTGCACCTGAAAGACTTTTGTTTTCATAATTTCTTTATCTCCTTTTCTCCATTCTTTTATGGTTTCTTTGACCCAGCGAACCGATTAGTATAGTGCATCAGAAAAATAAGGAAAGAGAAGAAGAGAGAAAAAAGGTAAAAGATATAGACGGGTTTACATGTTTTGACTACAAACAATTTCGAAAGAGCCCGTAATTTCTCAGATGTTGAGTTTATTGATGGGTTTCGACGAGGTTTTGGTTTTTTTAACTAAGGACTTTTATCTCCTGTTCTTGTCTTATATCCTATATGACCTGGGATGCATTTAAACTCAGCATTCCAAACTCCAATTAATTCATATGCTGAAATCTTCATTACCGTCAAGTTTATTGCTAGAATTTGATATCTGCACAAGAAAAGAAAACTGTATCAATCACGCGATTTACTCAAGTTCTCCCTTTCGTTCTCACCCTTCTTGATCTTTTCCTTGTCCTGTCCCTTTCACCTTTCATTTTCCCCTTTATCTCTCTGTTTCTTTTTCTTCACTTCTTTTGTCTTTTCTTTTCTGTCCGTTTTCTTCTTTTGATTTTTACAATTCTTAGGCAATCACATGAAATCGACAAAAGTAGCTCCACTTGTGGCACGGACATCATATCATATCAAGTGTTACCCTGTTGATGCTAGATCAAAATACTTACTACTATAATATTAAAAAGACAAACAGAAACTTCCAAAGCACAGAGCTAATCATTTACAAGTGTTAAAAAAAGTTATCCAAGTGGCTTGTGCTGTTGTGCACGCAGCGCAATTCAAGAAGGCTATCTTTAAGTTCAACTACAGCCATTAGCAAATTTGAGCTGTGAACTCTTCTCTGTATCCTACAGGTACTGTATGCTTTTACTTCAAAACCTCAAGTTCTGTTTAATCAATATGTCTTGTTTTTAGTGTCTCAAATTAGAGATATTTGACATAGGAATGCTGGTGTGTGCAGGCTAAAATGGCAGGTGAAGCAGTTAATGTGAATGAATTTCAAGAGCTAGCTAAGCAAGCTCTTCCAAAGATGTACTATGACTTCTTTGCTGGAGGAGCTGAGGATCAGTATACACTAAATGAAAATATAGAAGCATTTCGTAGAATCACGTAAGTTAGTATAATTTTTGCTCGTGATTTGGCAACGGAGATTGTAGCACTAACCTTTTCAGAAACTCAGTATTAGGCCAAGAATACTTGTTGATGTGAGCAGAATAGACATATCAACTGTTATACTCGGTCACAAGACGTCGGCTCCCATTATGGTTGCCCCAACTTCCTCACATCAATTGGCACATCCTGAAGGTTTGGATAAAATTAATTAGGGAAAAAGATTTATCCCTCTACTATGTGAAATATTTTAATTTACCATCTGTTATATATTTTACTTCCATTCATACCTTACCATTAGCGAATTAGTCTCCTATTTGCCCTTGACTTTAGTGAAGCTCAAATTGGAGCTATATTAGGGTCAAGGGCAAATATGAAACTGCTAATGGCAAGTGCGAATGTTCCCAATGTATAAAATTAAGATATTTCGTGCAGTCGAGGAGTATTTTTAACCATTTTCCTTATCAATTATAACTACCTAGTATGTTGTTAGCTGAATGTACTATGTATGTAGGTCTTATTCCATAAAGCTGTTGTATTTATGCCAGGGGAAGTTGCAACAGCTAGAGGTGCTGCAGCATGTAATGTTATCATGGTAATAGTTTTCCAAAATAGCATATCCATTCCGAATTCACGGTGTGTGAATATTGAGTTCTCTTGATTCATAGGGATTGTCATTTACGGCCACATGCACCATTGAGGAGGTTGCTTCAAGCTGCAACGCTGTTCGCTTCTTCCAAACATATGTAAATTATTATTCCTGTCTCTCATGATCATATATCATTACTGATTTTTGTGTTTTGTTAACAGATTGCGAATTTTTTCCTTGTTGATAGGTTTACAAAAGGAGAGATATAACCGAACTTATGGTACACAAAGCTGAGAGCAATGGATTCAGGGCTATAATTCTCACTGCTGATACTCCAAGGCTTGGCAGAAGGGAGGCTGATATAAAGAATAAGTAAGTTGTATATCCTTTTTACTGAATTCTTTTCATTGTTCATCTTATCTAGAAGATGTCGGTTCCATCATTTTAGTACTTTAAGAAATTTTATAAATTTTGGGTCCTGTGTTGATCAACTAAGAGTCAGAATTGCAGGATGATTTCACCTCGGTTGAGGAACTTTGAAGGTCTTATAACAACTGAAGTAGTTTCTGTAAGTTAAACCATATATAATAGCTTTTTACCAAAAGCAATTACTTAGATATCAACTTTGAAACTAGTGTAGACTGTGCTTATTAATCCACTAACAAATTTCTGCAGGACAAGGGCTCAAATCTTGAAGCATACGCTGCAGGAACTCTTGATCCTTCGCTTTGCTGGAAGGTACAAGATTTAAAAGTTACATATATCTGTTCCTTAATACCACATTAGAAGATACGATGAAATACAGTCTTGATCCATGAACTCAAAGTATTGATGCCAAAAAAAGGGCAACCCGGTGCATGAAGCATCCTTCGTTCATGCAGGGTCCAGGAAGGGCCGCATCCCAAGGGGTGTTATGTAGGCAGCCTACCCTGATGCTAGCATTAGTGGCTGATTCCACGGCTCGAAAACTCTTGATGCCAACATATGTTAAAATTTGTAAAATTGCTGAGCTACAAAGTATTGTTTTCCGAGTTCAACACAAATATGATCCACTATGTTCTTAAACACGCACATTCTCCAAAAATTTTGCAGGATATAGTGTGGTTAAAATCAGTTACCAAGTTGCCAATTCTGATTAAGGGCGTTCTCACTGGTGAAGATGGTATAATTTTTATCACCCAACCTTAGCTGTTTGCATAGAAAGCTTCAAATTTTCCTACCAAGTCTCACTGAGTGAGCATTTCTTCCTAAGATTTTTCTTATACTATCTTTTGCAGCAATAAAAGCAGTTGAAGCAGGAGTTGCAGGAATTATTGTCTCTAACCATGGAGCTCGGCAACTAGATTATACTCCAGCTACTATTTCTGTTCTTGAAGAGGCGATTTCCTTCCTTACATGATTGATGTCTTGCCACACAAAGCTCATTTGAATTCTTTTCAACTGAAAGTTGAAATAAGTTATTTGAATTCTTAAAAAATTTAAGATTTATGGATTTGAAATCTCCTCTTTAATCCAAATGTCTCCATCAAAAGCGAATCAAAATCCTTTAATGTATATATATTGGCTTCTATATATTCCTTCTTAATTTTCAATGGTTTTAGGTGGTCAATGCTGTTCAAGGCAAAGTTCCAGTTCTTCTTGATGGAGGAATTAGGCGAGGAACAGACATATTCAAGGCGTTAGCACTTGGCGCAAAAGCTGTTCTGGTAAACTTAATGATTTGAATAAGTGGATTTAACTTATATACACAGACAGTGTAAATAAGATTACACTACCAGTATAAATTTAACCTAATTCATATTCGTGCAGATTGGTCGACCGATTGTCTATGGACTGGCCACTAAGGGAGAGTCTGGGGTAAAGCAAGTCATTGAAATGCTGAAGAATGAACTTGAGCAGACCATGGCGCTTGCTGGCTGCTGCAATGTGAATGACATAACCAGAAGCCATGTTAAGACAGAGAAAGAAAGGTTCCTTTGTAGGATGTAGTTTCCATCCTCTATTTCTTAAATGAGTTTAAGTTCTTCGATGTAAAAAACTATTTATAGAATCAGGTAACTCTATTTAAGTAGCATTGATTAGTAACCTATGTCCTATAATAAGCGGTCATATTTCCGCGGACCTACTTAGCTTGTTGGACTCTAACTTCGATTTCCGAAGCAGATATAGGCCAACTGATCGATATGAGATGCTCCCTTTTGCTTAGCATTCTCGTACAACTAATCCACTTTCAGATGCTATGCTTTCCTTGTCACCATTGTAGGATAAAACTTGAAAGTGGAAATTAAAAGATTATGTATTGTCTGTATGAGAATTGGGTTTTTTAGTTACTTGTACTTGTTATTTTTTTACCTGAAAATTTTATTCAGCAAGATTTTAGAAGCCACTGAAATTTTACAGATTACACCCAGAAGATATGATGACTATGATCTGTAAGAGAACAGCAACAACAACAAACTCAGTTTGATCCCATAAATGGAGTCTGGGGAAGGTAGTATGTACGCAGACCTTATCCCTACCTCATAGAGAGGCTGCTTCCGATAGACCCTCGGCATGATCTGTAAGAGAATAACTACAAAAACAAAAATAATTAGAGTTCCTTTTTTTCATGAGCTAATTCAAGGCCACGTTTTCAGAGGGATCTAAGACGTTTTTGGATGAAGAAATCAATCATTTAACAAAGGATTTTCCAGTAGATCAGTGATTTAATATTATGTAAACAAGAAACTAATGATTTATTAATGTGTTAACAAGAAATAACTAAAGCAAATAACAGGAATGAGAGTACATGGATATGCTAAAGCAAATAACAGGAATAGTCCCTCAAACGGTCTTCGTTGATCAATAGACTCAGAGTAGATGAATCATCCAAGGCAATAACAGGTTTGAGTTCCTCAAATGGCCTTGATTGGTTCATAGACTCTAATAGCAGATGGATCAACCAAAGCAAATAACATGAATGAGTCTCTCAAATGACCGTGGTTGATCCATAGGCTCGTTTGGTACGAGCAATAAGGGATAATTAATCGCGGAATAAAATTTGAGATGAGTTTATCCTACATCTGGTTGGGATAAAATCGGGGTATAACTAATCTCGGGATTAGTTATCCGGGGATTGTAGTGTTATTTTTATCCCTATGGAAGGGTGGGATAATAATCCCGGGATAACTAATCCCAGAATAATTAATCGTGGGATAACTTGTTTCCCAACCAAACGACCTAAAAGTATCGCAATGTTTTATAGAACCTTCTGAAAATAAGCTCATAAGGCTTCACCTCCAAAAATATAGAAGGGCCAAATCATCAAAACCTCCTTGATAAAGTCTTCACCTGGATTGCATTTTAAAAAGTCAACATTGCAATCAATTCACACATTGAAATCTTCATTACCATCAAGCTACAGCTAGAATCATAAAAGCGTAATTACATTGCACCAATACGGAGATGATTTACACCACAAGTTCTCCCCCTTCTTTCTCAGTAGTTATGTTCCCTTCTTTCATTTCTTTGACCTGGTGCCTTTCACCTGCCAAGAATCATTTGCAGCCAAATGATTAGTGTATAGACACATGCCTATTTCCTTCACCTCCGGACCCCCACACTTTTGAGTTTTGACTATTGCATGGAAATGGAAACAGATAATCCTCTGATCATTTAAAAGCTGCACACAGCAATTCAAAAGGCTATCTCTAAGTTCAATTACAGCAAGGAGAGATACTGGAGAGTGTGTACTCTTCTCTGTATCCTACAGGTACTAAATTTTGTTGCTTCAACACCTCGAGTTCTGCTCTTAAAAGAAGACCAAAATTCTACAATGAGAGAATATTTAACATACGATTGCTCGTGTATGCTGGCTAAATGGCAGTTAAACCAGTTAATGTCAATGAATTTGAAGAGCTAGCTAGGCAAGCTCTTCCAAAGATGTACTATGACTTCTTTGCAGGAGGAACTGAGGATCAATATACACTAAAAGAAAATACAGAAGCATTTCATAGAATCACGTAAGTTTGTAATTCCTGCTCTTCAGTTGGCAACTGACAGATTTCTAGGACTAACTTTTCATAAAAATCAGTATTCGGCCAAGAATGCTTGTTGATGTGAGCAAAATAGACATGTCAACTGTTATACTTGGTAACAAGACGTCGGCTCCCATTATAGTTGCTCCAACTTCCTCACATCAATTGGCACATTCTGAAGGTTTGAATAAAAATCATTTTAACCTTAAGTCTGTTAGCTGAACGTACCATGTCGCTCTTGTTCCATAAAGCTGTTGTATCTATGACAGGAGAAGTTGCAACAGCTAGAGGTGCAGCAGCATGTAATGTAATCATGGTAATATTTTCCTTAAGATAAAAACATCAGCTTCGAATTCTGGTGTGTGGATTCTGAATTCTCTGGGTATAGGGATTGGCATTTACGTCTACATGCACAGTGGAGGAGGTTGCTTCAAGCTGCAATGCTGTTCGCTTCCTTCAAACTTCCGTAACTCATTATTCCTATCTCTCATGATCTTCATATATCTTCACTTGGTTTTGTGTTCTGCAATAGATAGGTAATTTATTCTTTTGTCAATAGGCTTTCAAGAGAGATATAATAGAACTTGTGGTAAGGAAAGCTGAGAGCAACGGATTCAGGGCTATAATTCTCACTGCCGATACTCCAAGGCTTGGAAAAAAGGAGGCTGATATAAAGAATAAGTAATGTGTATAATGTTTTGTTTGTCATTGAAGTCTAGCTAAAATCCTTTTCATAGTTTATCGGTTTCATCATTCAGAATTATATGATTTTGTGTTAATCTTACTAAGAGTCAGAATTGCAGGATGGTTGCACCTCGGTTCGGGAACTTTGAAGGTCTTGTATCAACTGAAGTTGTTTCTGTAAGTTAAACCATTAATATCCTGGATTTTTACTAAAACCAATTATTAGACAAATTACATGTAAGCTGAAACATGGGTAGCCCGGTGCACAAGGCATCCCGCGTTCACGCAGGGTCCGGGGAAGGGCCGCAGCCAAAGGGGTATGATGTAGACAACCTAATAACCTAATGCAAGCATTAGTGGTTGCTTCTACGGCTCGAACTTGAAACTCCTTGAAGAACAAGCTTATTTTGCAGGACTCCAATGTCACAATTAGTTGGTTCCTCCTACTATATGCATTAGTGTTCTCTTTTATTAGTTTACTACGCGGAAATTCCATAATTCGCCATCGATGTATCTACTTGCAAACATTATAGACTATGCTTGCTAATTAAAAAATAAAATTCTGCGGGCCAAAGGCTCCACAACTGAAGCATACGCTGAAGAAACTCTTGACCCTTCGTTTTGCTGGAAGGTACAAGATTTAAAAGTTAAATATATTGTTACTTAACCCACATTTGAAGATTATACAATGAAACATAGTCTTGGTCCTTGAATGCAAATTTTGCTGAGGATGTCAATGCATGTTAAAATATGTAAAATAGCTGAGCCACAAAATACTTTTGAGAATGATCAGAGTTCTCACAGTTTAATACAATATATGATTCACCATATTATTCAGTAATCCTCACACTCTCCAAAACTTTGCAGGATATAGCATGGTTAAAATCAGTTACCAAGTTGCCAATTCTGATAAAGGGCATTCTCACTAGTGAAGATGGTATAACATCTATCATAAACCTTAGCTGAAGTCAATAGAAACTCTATTGCCTCCATATGTCAATGTACTTGTTTCTCTAAATTCCATATAAGTTTCCATGGAACTGAATATTTGAGATATCGTTTTAACTTATACATACTTGTCAAAGTATATCTTCTAGCAAGCTTCTTTTGCATTTCTTTTTAGATGATAGGAAAAGTTTCAATATGTTTTAACATATATAAACTTTGATTTTTTTTTCTAAAGATTTTTCTTATACTATTTTTTCGCAGCAATTGAAGCAGGAGTTGCAGGAATTATTGTCTCAAATCATGGAGCTCGGCAACTAGATTATACTCCAGCTACTATTTCTGTTCTTGAAGAGGTGATTTCCTTCCTTACATGATTGATGTCTTGCTACACAAAGTTCCTCTTTAATCCGAATGTCTCCACCAAAATCGAACCAAAATCTTTCAATGTATATGTATATTCCATATGTTCCTCCTTAATTTCCAATGGTTTCAGGTGGTCCATGCTGTTCAAGATAAAGTTCCAGTGTTCTTTGATGGAGGAATTAGGCGAGGAACAGACATATTCAAGGCCTTAGCACTTGGTGCAAAAGCTGTTGTAAGGGTGAGTCTGGTGTAAAGCAAGTTATTGAAATGCTGAAGAATGAACTTGAGCAGACAATGGCTCTTGCTGGCTGCTGCAATGTGAATGACATAACCAGAAGCCATGTTAAGACAGAAAATGAAAGTTTCCTTAGTCGGATGTAGTTTCCATCCTCTCTACCTTAAATAAATGGACTGCCCCAACTCAACAATAATGTCACATCTTGCTTTGTAATAATCTTCTTTGTGCAGAGGTATTATCAATGTTTGTATATGATTTTTTATACTTTCCAATAATTAAATCCTTGTATTATTTCCTTATAATACCTGCACATCAGTTGAATGTTCCTTGATTTGCCCAACAATTCTCTGTTAATTGGGGAGTGTAGTGAACATTGGGAGAATTTTCAAGATTCAAAAAACATTTTGGTTGATGGTAAATTGAGTGGGAAATTCAGAACTGTCAAGTGGCTCAAGACTTTTTGTACCTAATTGTTACATAATAATAGGTTAAAAAAAGTTTGTTTGTAAACAAATTATACTTAAATTATAATGTGACGATTATAATACGGGTAATAACGACAAGATTATTCAGCTGATTTACTTTAATAGGATTAAGAAATAATATATACCATATATAATAGTATAGAATATGTGAATAAAACAAATTTGATAATCTTTTATTTGTAGTTTTAACCTTGACTTTCTCATAGGAGTTTGGGAGAAAGATTCGGTGAAGGCCATCTTTATATTTTATATTTTATCCTGAAATTAAGGACCAATTTGTCTATAGATATTCTTTCTTTCTTTTTTCGAAAATATTTTTCAAAAACGTGTTTGTCCATGAAATTTTGTAAGTTTTTTAAAAAATTCGAAAATGAGTTTTTCAAAAACCAACCACTTTTTCAAAAAATTTATAAATTTTTGTTTCCCCACTCATAAAACTGCAACATTTTGTTAAAAAGTGAAATGCATATCCAAACATAATTTCAAATTTCAAATATTATTTTTCAACTTAAATTCAAATATTACATTTTTTCAAACATTACAATTTTATGTCCAAACGCCTACTATAAGTATCCCGATTATTTTCACAAATGTTG